AGAGAGAGAGAGAGAGAGAGAGAGAGCAGAAATAAGTAAGAATACGCTGCGCGTTTTAACAATTATTATAATTTTTGTGTCCTTTCTGTAAAATTTGCTTTTCCGCATGTGTAGCCGTTTGTGATAACACCGACGAAGTATATGAATGTATACCGTCTGATTTGTAATAATCTGCCAGAACAAAGATAACGCGTGCACATAATCATACTTTACTTAAACCGAATTTTTTAATCCTTTCAAAAATACATACTCGAGAGTAGGATTTTTGCCTCTGCACAAAGACGAAAAGATTCGAATGCTGGCGTAAGTTAACTAAAAATTGGCCGAAGCAAGCCTTGGGTTTCTCTTGCCCTCTTCTCAGCGACCTCCTGGCAACCGATAACTGCCGAAAAGGGGCCCGCTTGGAAACCAGAAAACTGGAAACACTGTTCTGAACTCTCAAATGTGAAGAGTGAGTCGACTTAGTCGAATGAGTGAGTGAGAGTGACAGAGTGACACTGCTTTTATTAACAAAATTTGAAAAATAAATGCCAGTTAATAGATCAAGAAACCTAAATAAACAAGTTTCTGGACCTCTTCGTACAATATCCAGCCAAGCTAGGCTAGGTCAAGAAAGGTTTCGTGGGCCAAGGCCAAGATCTTCTCCTTGCCTTGCGATGGCTTCACAATTCTCTGGAGCTTTGCAACTTACTGATTTAGATGACTTCATTACACCATCTCAGGTAAGAAGGAAAAAAGTGATAATCATGACATGCAGTTTAAATATCTAGATCTAGATCTAGATGTGCATGATGTCAAAAGGGTGACTTTGTGGACATTGTGGTGCTTTTTCGGCAGTTCCCACCCCCTTATTTGAGCCTAGAACTAGATTCTAGATTCTAAAATATACGCGTAAAATATAATATTTAGATCTATATCTAGATTTCTAGATCTAGATCTAGATCTAGATCCTAGATCTAGATATCTAGATCTAGACTAGAGATATATCTTTATCTAGATTCGAGAGTCACTATGAGTAGTTGGACCCCAAATGAAGTAGCCTGTAGCAAGACT